GAATATATTCTCCCCCTTCCCCCCCCCCCCTTCTTCGAATCAGCTCTTCTAATCCACAGGCTCTTGGTTTCATGTGGCACTGCTAGGCAGAGCTGTCTATGTTGCTTATTGGGGAAAAGCAGGGCTCTGGGCACGGTGGTGGGGCAGAGCAGCATGTAGGTGACCAGCTTGCTCATCCAAGCCAAGGAATGATGGGAACTGGGCTTTGCTGCTCTGGAAGACTCCTGAGGGAGGATTGCCTGCCTTCTGACCCAGGGGTTTCTGCCCCCTTCCCTTCCTCTGCAAGAGGAGGGCAGAGCTTACTCCTGTTTCTCTGCTCTTGTCCCTGTGTCTAGCAGTTTTTGGTTTAAATACTTCAAGTCCCCATGGATCAGTTCCTTGGACACAGTAGCTGGCCACAAGGGTAGTTGTGAGAGTGACTGTGAACAGCCATTGGCTTAGGAGGTGGGCGGAGGGGCTCTGTCCTCAGTAGAGCGGGTGGCACAGCCTCTGAGTTGTGCATGGCAGCAGAGCCCTCCTCCCCCAAGCCAGCAGCTGGGAGGGGAGGAGTGGGGGATGCAAGCCAAACGCTCTTTATGCTTCTAGAAATCATCCTCTCTTCCATCGGCGGTTGCTCTGTAATAAACCTGACAACAACCACCCTTTGTGTTGTGCAGTGTCTGGGCTCGCAGAGGAGCAGGGGCGACCGGAGGCACTGGCCGTTCCAGCTGGATGCTGGGGCCAGAGTGGAATGAGCCCCTCGTACGGGCAGGGGCCAGGGGAAGGCCTGGCTTCCCGCGGGTGCTGACGCGGCCCCTGAGCAGTGGGGATGCGGATGCTGCAGGCGGGGGGAGGGGAGACGCCACAGCCCGAGACCCTATCGGCTCCCCCGGAGAAGAGGCCACGCCCCCTGCCTAGCTCGGGCGCCGATTGGCTCCAGAGAAGCCTCGCTCGAAATGTTAGGTAATCACTTGGGGCCAGAACCATTTCGCAAAACGAGGGGGGGGGCATAGCGGGTTTTTGCCTTGCAGTGGGAGTTAACAAGGAGCAGGCCTAGGACAGGGGCAGGCTTGTTGGAGGGTTTTTCCCGTCGTCTACGTTCCCACTGTCTTCGCCCCCCACTTCTTTGGTAAATGGTTGAGCCCAGAGCACTGGCCCACCCCCTTCCGTGCTGGCCCCACGTGCTTCCCCCAGTGGCGGCGCGGGCGGCAGCAGGTGGGTTCGTGCTGCGCGGCGGCGGCGGCCTTGGGCCCTGGGCCTGCTCGGGGGCGAGACGCGGCGGGGCCCTCGGCGGCGGGGCAGTGCTGAGGCTGGAGGCGCCCCCGCATCTCGCGCGGGCGGCCGGATCAGGCCGGAGCAAGCGCTTCCTCCGCGGCCCCGGGGACGGGACCCGTCCCCTGGGTCCGGCCAGCTCCTCCCTGGCCGGGGTGGGCTCTGTCACTACCCGGGGTTACCCCCGCCTGGCTGGTTCCCTCTGTCCCTTGAAATCCCTGGGTGGGGTGCGCGGGCTCTGCCCCTGGGTGCCCCCCGGCCCGGTCCGCGCCCGAGCAGCCTTCTGGGCCCTCGGCAAGCGCGGGATCCGTGCCCGCGGGCGGCTGAGAACCTGCCCCGCTTGCTCTCCCGGGCAGGATGGCTCCCAAGGGGCGGAAGAGGAAGGCAGAGGCCCCCGAGGCAAAGGCTGAGAAATCGGAGGCCTCGCAGGCCAAGGACAACCTCAATAAGTTACCAAAGAAGCAGCGGCGTGCGGGCAGCGCGGGGGCTGCGCCCCATGTGGTCATTGAGCACTGGTGAGTCCCTGTGCCTGGGTGCTGCTCAGTCCTGGTGGTGGGCACCAGAGCTGCCCCCTAAGGAGGGGTGGGTGGCAGTGGCTCTCTTTGGTGGAGAACGAGAGAAGCGTGGCCTGGAGCAGGGCTCCGTTTGTGGGGGGCCGAGCCAGACTGTGGTGCCTGGGACACGCTGGACAGATGGCACTGCCTGAGGGTGGCTGGTTGCAGCAGGATCCCAAGCCTGTCGGCCCCCGTCATTTCACATACGTGTTCCTTGCTATTGCTGCTGTCCCCCTATCCTTTTTCTCTGCCCATGGGTTAACCCCTTCTTCTCTTCTTGCAGTCAAAGCTGACGAGTGTATGGGCGCAATGCCAGTGCTGTGAGCGAGGCACTGCGCCATGCTGTTGACAACCTGACAGTGGAAATCAACCCTGAGAAACCGCGTAGGAATAGCTTCGAGGTGTCCCTGGTGAAGGAGGATGGAAGCAGTAAGTGCCGCCTTCGTGGGGAGGTAGGGCAGAGGTCCCATTTAGGTGGGGCCAGCACTTTGATGGACACTTGATGAGCTTCCTAGGAGCAGCACTTTCCCAGGGGTTCAGTGCTCTGAGAAGGAGGGTGGAGGCAGGCTGGGCAGTTTGGAGGTAGGCCCTTGTTGGACTGACCTCAGTGAGGCAAGGACCGTCCCTGCTCCCCCTCCAGGGCCTGCAGTACCAGTGGCTGTGAACACTAAGCCCCGCCATGGGCTATTGCAATATAACCCAGTGACCAGTACCCTCTCTGTAACCCCAAGCCTTCTTTGTTTGCATATTTTAGTGGTGGAGTTATGGAGTGGCATTAAGAAGGGGCCGCCTCGCAAGCTCAAGTTCCCTGAGCCAGAGAAGGTGGTCGAAGCACTGAAGAGCAGCTTGGCATAAAGCAAAATCAATGGGACAGGAGACAGAGGTGAGTTGTTCCTAGTGGGTTTTTCACAGAGATCATGTCTAGGGCAAAAGGAAGGACTGCATCTCCTCAGTCAGGGGCAGAGCTGAAAGGAAACCCCCCTACCTTAGAGTTACTGTGGCATTTAAAAACCAGTATGAGGGGGAATCCTGCATACTGGTGCAGATCTGATTTGTTAATGGATAAATCTGTGACTTCTTAATACTGAACCAAGCAGGGCTCTTTCCTCCTTGCCAGAATGGAGGGTCTCCCCTTGACTCTGCTGCAAGGCCCTGTCACTGGGGCTTGGTTTCCAAGTGTTGGCTGTGTGAGAATCAAGTCCCACTGGCAGTCTCCTGGCTGCATTGGTTCTGCATGGTAATACTTTCTCACAGCCATTAGCTGTCTCAGCAGGCATCAGGTCTGGTTCCCATGCACCCTTTTGCTGTTTTGCAGACCTGTTTAAAGGGATGTGGTGGGCTGAATGGTCCAGCAGGCTGCAGGCGTATAGCTAGGCCAGATGCCTCAGACTAGACACAGCCTGTACCAGCAAGGTGGGTGGGGGAAGGAATACCAAGATAAAGCTGGCTTAACTATTTTTTGTGAGGATGGGGTTCCTCTTGCCTGCCAAATACTGTTGGAGGGAAAGCAGCAGATAGAGAATGTGATTGAGTTCTGGATCCATAGCTTGGCTGCATAGCAGAAACCTGAGCATACACAGCATATTCCTCCTCTCCAGCCCTCAGGTTAGGGCCTGCTATCTACAGGACTCCCAACAAAAAAACCCCAAACAAAAAAATAACCCTTGTGACTTAGCACCTCCAGTGCAGGTAGGTGCTGTGGGAAAGCAAAATGCAGAGAGGATAAACTGCCCTGATGTCCCTAATGACTCTTGTAGTTTCAGGTCACTGTTGTTGCATCCTGGCCCAGTGACCTAACCACTCATCTTAGTAATCTGTGGACCTGAGTAACATGATAGCCTTCTTGGTGGGAATGTAGGGTGGGTAGTTAAATGCAACACCCCTTGTTCCTCTCTGAGGATCAACACCCTCTCTTCCTCTTCCCTTTGCAGCCAGGCTGAGAACCAGTCTACTCCTTGTGAGAACCAGAGCATTTATGAAGAGGTGTGACGAAGTGGGGGCACAAGCCAGACCCAGTCACATTTCTGATGCTGCAGCTCTATGCACAGGGAGCTGATGGCCACAGCATGCCACTCTGTTTTCCTCCTTACAAGAAACCAGCAATGACAATTTGTTGTAGTTCAGAATTTTGTAATAAAGTTTATAGAAAAGCCAGTGAGAACTCAACTTTGGCATGGGAGAGTCAGCTGTGTCTAACATCCTGCCTTGGGGGAAGGGAGTTAGGGATAACTGCTAGACACCCTGTCCCCTCTCAGGAAGTGTCTTCTGGTCTCATACAGTACAGCCTGCCACTAGGGGGAGATGACTGCCTGCTCTGCTGCAGCTCAGGCAATAGGATGTGAACACATCAGTACAAACAAGTCCAACACTTTATTTCAAATTGCAACCTATAACACTTATTCCAGCCTCTCCTTGCTGTTACCTGTTCTCTGGTGCCAAGGGGAATTCCTGGAGCAAAGTGACAAAGCCCTCCACTAAGAAAGGCAAAGGAAGCATCAGGACACACCCAGCTGACTTTACTTTTGTCATGAGAAATCAGTTGCAGCAGATTGGAGGTAATGAACACAGCAGTAGATTGAAGTTCAGAGAAAAGGGTCCAGATTACATAAGAAGACAAAGCTAGCAGTTCAGACAGCACTCTGTCTTGTGAGGGGTGGAGAACAGGGAAGGAAGAGATAAGGGACTGCCAGCTGAGTAAATGAACCACCTGCTGTTCACCTCAAGTGCTGGGGCAGGTACACAGGAATAGGGAGTTGAATGAAGGACTGTTGCTAGTATTATGGCTCTGCGTATTTGTCATTGAGGTGTCTGCTTGAAATGAGTTTAAGACTTGGTATGTCCACCCTGCAATGACTGTAGCTCACAGAAACTAATCTCAGCTGCCTACAAGCTAGCAAGCTCTAGTGGTGCAAGTGGCACAGAGCCTGAAGTGGGGGGCAGGGGTGGGATTCATGGACAGGGAATAGGGGACTTGAATCATAATCACCACCCAGCTTTACAAAAACACATTGCTTGAATGTCCTATGGTGTTTAAAAGCATCTGCAGATGTTGCTTTTTCATTTCTCTCAGAAGGCTGAAAAGGCTTGAGGGCTCCTCTTGGGCAGAAAGATGAGGAATTCCACATCTTGGCTGAAGCTCCCTGCTTTGGCCTAGATGCAAAGAACCAAAAAACATGCACACAGCATGCAAGCAAAAAGCCCTCTTGGTTCATTCTAGGAGTCTCAGACAAGATTTGGAGCTGATGGTTGTTAAACTAGCTAATGCAGACATTTCTTCACAAGCCAACAGTCACAGCAGTGTAGGTCTGAGACAGGGTAAGAGCATTAGGGACAGACTGGACAAGGGTCCCTGCAACAGGTGCAGACAGTGAAGAGAGTTGAGACATGAATGGAGATGAGTCAAATGCACAACAGAAGATAAAGTAAAACTGCAGCAAGGCCAGGACTATCCAGTGCCAGGCAGAAGCACTGGGAGGATGTTGCTGGATGTCCTCAATACTGAAGATTCACATCAGCTCCTTTGAAAAAAATTACAACACTGAAGCAAGCAAACTTCCTGACCTCCCTTCCCTTGATGGTTCTGCACCCTTTAAGTCTCCCTGGAGGCTATTCTTTCTCTTCTCAGCACACAAGCAGCTCTATCTTGCACATAAGTTAGTTCAGTGGGTCTCATGAAAAAAAAAACAACTTATAACCTGTGCACCTGTCTAGACTGCTGCCATAGCAAGCTCCTCAAAAAGGAACTGCTTAAGACCAAGCAGAGCAGGGCAGTTTCCACCCCACCATTCCTCTCTATCCCAATGCTATGGCAAGTTTCCTTTAAATGCAGCAGTCAGTAGAGCTCTATTAACTTTGCAGATGGTAAAGTAGGTCACACTGTGGCCACACCATTCTCAGCCCAGTTGCACCACCCCCAGGGAACTGCAGGGTGTTTCTGGTTCAAGCCAAATCCCAGCTGCAAAAGCAGACACTGCATCTTGACCTTGCCTCACTACTGGATCTACCCACCATGCCATCTGGAGGCTTACTCCCCCTCCCCTCTCTCCAGGAGTCTTTTAGCACCAAGGGAGGTCCTTCAGCAACCAGGGCCTGCAGGTTCCCAGCCTCAAACACCTGAATTTACTTATTCACTTAACAGCACCCTACCATGGTTAAGTATTAGCTGGGGCAACAGCATCTTGGGCATCAGCAGAGAGGGCCCCCTCACCAGAAATCAGGCCCTGCCACTGCTAGTTCAGAACATCCACCTCATCATCCGACTCCGAAGAGGGATCAGGCTTGACACACAGGACACTGATGGGAATCGGTCCTTCTTCGGCCCCTGTCACATCAATTATTTCATCCATCTTATCTCCTGGGCTGTCTGAGGGTGCTGTCAGGTGGCAGTCCCAGTGGCCATGCTCTTTAAGGCTGCTTTGCTGTAGCACCAATGGCACCTGAACATCAGGTGTAGTCTCCATTCCAGCAGTTTCTGCATAGACTGACCAGGTGGTACAGGGCTCCCATCTGTCCCCCCCACCATCTTCCACTGGAACAGGGGACCCCGAGTCTGACCGGGTTTCCTTCCTCCCAACCAATAGTGAATGGCATTGAAGACTGTGGGAACTGGAAAGTCCAGCAGACATGGGGCTGGGGCAGTAGCTACTTGGCAGAGCCTCATTAGGGTCTGCAGGGAAGGGTGGGACAAGCTGGCCACACACAGGGTATCCCACAGCATCTCCAGCTGCAGAGCTGAGAAGCGGGCTACCCCTACCCTGCTCCCCTCCTGGCATGAGTACTTCACTTGCCTCATTCCATTCTGGCCAAAGATGCATGTCCAGGGGTTGCCATTCCCTTCCTGCTGCTACATCAGCATCCACTAAAGCTGCATCTATCTGGCATGATGGGCCTGCAGAAGGCTGCCCATCGTCCACCTCTCCCAGCTTAGGGAGGCATGGACCTTCCATGGCACTGCTGTTGCCTGCTAGCATCGAGTCCAGCATCTGTTCCAGATCCCCTAAGGGAGCCAAGTTCCCAAATTCATCACCCTCACTCAGCTGGTCTAATGCAGTCCCTTCCAGCTCACAGGGGTTTCCACAGCCTGCTTGCTCTCCCATCAACACCTCTCCTAATGTCTGTTCCACAGAAGCCTCCTCAGGGAAGGGTGCAGTCTCTAGCCTTCCTGGCAGCAGCTCTGCAGAGCCAGCTGAGCATGTCCCTGGCAGCTCCAAGCAACTTAAGTTGCATGATTCAGAGGCTGAGGAGGATGCCACAAAGGACACGTCCTCTGTAGCAGGTTCTGCATCTCTCTCTCCTGTGGTTTTGGGGGCTCCCTGGGCAGCTGGCTCCTGTACCACTTCCCAGCAGCTACCATTGACAGCTTTCCTCAGCTTCACACGGCGGACATGCCCCTCCTCAGAGGCTGTGTCTGAACTGGAGGCTGATGTGCTTGGACTGCGCTTCTTGATACTGGCTTTCAGAGGTGCAGTGAAGCTTTGGCTTCCACATAAGAGGCTGGCCTGCTCTGGCTGGCTTGTCTCATCCCCCCCTGGCTTCTTCTGCCGCCATAGGCGCTTGATGGATGTGTGGGCCTTAGCGAGGCTCTTGGCACTGGGTGCCTCTGTGGCACCAATGCTGGCAGGAGGCGGCAGTTTCAGGCGGCTGAGCTTTATTTTCCTTGGCAGGGGTGAGCCCTCTGTGAGGTTCCCTCCCCCAGATGAGTTCTGCTGCACCTGCTTAGAGCTCCTCTTGCCCTGTGACCCTTCCCCTTTCCTCAGCACCCTCCCTCCACAAAGGCTCCTGACTAAGCAGCTCTGAGGTTTTGTACCTTCAGTCTCTGTGGGCAGTGCAGAAGTAACAGAGCTGTCCTGCATCCCCAACTGAGCCCCCTTGCTAGGGGCTGCTGCTGTGGCTGCCCCTTGCTGTACACATTCCCTTGGGCTGGCAGGCACTTCACTGTTATTTGAGAGCTTTGCTACAATGCCCTGCTTGCCAGCCACCATGGGGCTGGAAGTCCAGGGGACAGTGGGAGTTGGGGCAGGGCATGGCTCGCAGGCCTGCAACATGACCCTGGCAGAGATGGGAGCTGAGCTGGGCGACTGTAGGCACTCCCGGTTCAAGCGCCGGCCCAGGGCTTGCTTCACAAGCTTCCCACCCTCCAGCTTCAGTGACTCCAATTCTGACACTTGGAGCTGCCGGGCAGCAGCCAGGACATCCTGTGCCTCTTCCCGGGACACCTCCATCTCTGATGTGTACAAAAAATCCACCAGCTTCCTCAAAGTCCCAATCTTCAGTCCCCGGAGCTCCAGCACTACCTTGCGGCCCTTGGGCGGCATTTCGCGCTCCAGGCGCTCTGTGAAGAAGGGGCTGCACGCTGACAGGATGCAGCAATGAGCTGGGATGGCCTCGCCTGCAAACAAAGGAGTGACAATCAGTACCATGCATTAGTCCAGCTCTACCACTAAATTAGCCATTACTGCTCTCCTCCAACTCCTCTTGACACTGGGTACTTTCACTGGGGGTGGCAAAAGCCCCTCTAGGCTGCCTAGGGAGGGTGGGAATAAACAGAAACCCAGTTTACCTTAATTCTGGCATCCTTGAAAATCACACTGCATCCAACCCACACCTTGGGTATGCTACATGTCATCACTATTGCCAAACCCAAAAGTATAAAAGCCATGGGTGAGAAACCCTCTATCTAAATAACCGTCCATTTAGCAGGGCATTTTTTTTTTTGCTCCTGTTGGTTTCTGAATAGTCAGGACAGTCTCACTTCAGGCTTCTAAAGTTTCCTCCTCCCAAGGAGAGCTAGAAGCTCCCTTTGGATTTTAAGTGAAATCTGAGAGTCTCTTGAAATCTCTTGACTCCAGCAGCTGTGGTTATAAGAAAAAGCAACAAATATCACAGGAGTTACAGTAACATCAGAAGAGTTGGCAATACTCAGTTATGGTTCTTGAAGCAGCCCTAACTCAACTGTCTTAGAAGATCTCTCCAAAGGAAAGACATCTGCAATCTTTCCCACTCCTCTAACAGACACATGCATATTTTCAACTGTATTATCAGTCAAGTAACGCTAATTAACAAACTCCACCCTCAGTAAAAACAAGCTGCTTGTTCCCATTTTTAAACAAGCAAAAAATAACATATTTTTGTCCCCTTCTCCTGTGTCTCAGTCCCTGATTGCTTAGACTACACCCCAGAGTGCTTACACAATGCAGACAGCCACCATTAGCTACTGAAGAGACTGCAAAGGGGACTCTGGGCACAAACCAGCTATACAGCAGGTCCCAGAACCCTGATGAGTAGGGATTTTCCTGAGGAACATATACATTTCTCTTAGTGCAGCCCTGACCCAGCTTTGAACATTCCCACCCCCGAGCAGCGCTGCTTATAGCAGACTTAGGCAAGCATTAGCTCAGAAGGCTGTGGAGGCAGTCATTTAGGCTGCATCCCTGTTTGGCTCTTAAGGAAGTCAGCAGCAAGGAAGCTGGTGCTTGGGCCAAAATTCCCCTGCTGCAATACAGCATACTCCCAATAAAGATAGGCCTGGGTGGAGAGAGAGGAAAAGCACAGAGGAAGGTGCAACACTCCTAGATTTTTAACCATTCAAGACTGCCTTAACAGAGGAAATATCCTGATTGCATTTACATTTCCCCTTCCAAGCAAGAGC